CGTCATCGGTCACCATCATTCAGACGCTGTTATAAGAACTATTGTAAATTTATTTATCTGAGTATTTTTTATTGATTTACAAATTGTAACAATTGATGGAAAAAGAAAATACCATTGGAGTCTTCTCACCAGCCAACTATATGTGACGAAACCTATTCAATGTGCATACACATTATCTAATGAAGTTGTTCGATCCCCGAAAGAAAAAGGGAAATGTGGTGGTAGAAAACGCATTGATACTTAATGTGGTGATGTCTCATTACTCATGAGTAGAGGTATCAAGACGAACTGGTTGGCCAAACGGTTCGACCCGTGACCCGAGCGGACGGTTCACGGGTCAAGGAGGTGTAACCCGCAGGCTTCGCGGGTTGCACCTTCACGGGCTGCAGTTAACCCGCTAACCCGTGAAAAAAAAATTGAAAATAAAGAGGAGGAGAGAGCCATTGAGCTAGCTTGTTGCAACCTTTGCAAAGTTGTTATTTGATAATAGTAATTAGAAATGCATTTAGTTGTTATTTGTTTAAGTTAAATTTAACTTTTTAAAGTTATAAATAATTCATATAACATTAAATTTGAATTATATATAAACATTTCTTGGTATAAATATGAATTTATCATTTTGTTCAATTCTTAGTATACATTTAACAAAAAATAATAATTTTTGTTATAAATATGAAAAATTCTATATTTTTATAATTTTATTTATACAATAATACGGGCTAAATTGGAACAAACCGTGACCCTCATGGGCTCTACCCGGATAGGTCAGCGGGCGGGCCTAGGTTGTAGTCTAAAATTTGTGGGCTGACCCGGAACCAGCCCGGAACTTGTAGTGAGCGGACTTTTTTTCACGTGGGCCGTTATGGGCTCATATCTTGACGAGCCAACCCGACCCGGACCACTGGATGACACCTCTAAATAAATGTAATGATCTGGGGCTCTTGACACGTTGATTTCCTGCGCAGCCCGAAACATCTCCATTCGTTGTAGAAAATGTAATTTTAATAAGAGATTATTTGGTAGGGATTTTTGGGGGAAGAATTGATTTTGAAAAGTGATATGATGGGAAATGTGTGGTTGAAAAAGAAGAAAAAATTATTGATGTGATGGAAAATATTATTTTATTGAAAAATGTGTGGTTGAAAATAAGAATTGATTTACTGTAGAAAATGAGANATATGATGGGAAATGTGTAGTTGAAACAGAAGAAAAAATTATTGATGTGATGGAAAATATTATTTTATTGAAGAATGTGTGGTTGAAAATGAGAATTGATTTGAGAATCAATTCTCAAATAAAAAACGAACACCCCATAAGTTGAGTCCCCTTAGATTCATATGTATCTTACATTTCCAAATTTATAATTGTGTCATATAAATTGCTAGTAAATCATCTTCCTTAATTGTCATTTATATGACAACTTTATGTATAGTAGTATATTATGTTAAAATTGTTATTGCTTTACCTATTATAGTCATATCATGGTATCATGGGGTCTAGAAAGGGATACCGTGTGATAGTATTCTTACTCCATTAAACTTCCTTCCACCTATTTTCGATAAATTTGTGAAC